TAAAATATTATCAGTTATCACAATACTGAAGTCAAGAAAACACAAAAGGAATATTTCTTATAACCATGCCACTTCAAGGATTTCAAATCCATCAATAAAGCACTAAATTATACATATAAAATGGAATGCACTGGAAATTCTGTAAAAAGTTTATAGTTCTATAATAATAAAACAAGACAGTCTGCTTAGGAAAGAGAAAACCAGCTGTGACAGTGACACCAACAACACTAGATCTTTTTCTTCTGTGGTTTTTAAACATCCTCACTGTTTCGTTTTCTCTTGCTAGCTCCTCTCTTTGACCATATTGCTTTTTTAATGTTTTTAGCAATTGTGTGCATTGATTGTTTTGATCCATGTTTAGAATAAGCTGGATTTGGCAGTGCCTTTTCTTCTTTCCTCTCCCTCAGTTTTTTAGCATATCTGCCATAGGCTGTCTGCATGTGGTAGCACACACTCTTGTCCACAGGATCCCTTAGGACATACTCCCTATGGTAATGACCAAGGCTGCTAGTGTTCTGTGCTTTTAAATCATATTTCACGCTCTGAAATGAAGAATATGTCTGCACAGCCATCCTGTTTGATTTAGCATCAATGACGTCATTCATAACGCTAAATGACTGTTTTATTTTGGGTCCAGTGAAAATACTAAGACAAGCTCTTACTACCTTCCCAAGAGCTGGATAGCAAGGCATAACCTCTCTCCACCAGTGATCCAGTCGGGTGCTGTCATTTATCCCAGGTAGGGTTGGATCTGTCTGTATTCTTGAGACTTCTCTCAAATACTGAAACACTATTTTTTAAATTATTTATCGGATTTTGGTGTTCCATGCCATAGATACGTGTTTATGCAATCGCGCGGTTTGTTTACATTCGGCGACAGGGCGCCGCCATTTTGTAGTCTCGCAATGCTTGCTGGCGTATACGAGACCTTGTATGCTTATAATGCAAACTTCATGTCATGTGAACGAGATTGTATCTCGAAAACGTGCTTTAGAAAACGCGGTCATTCTTTTGTGTACCTTTCTATTGAGCGAGACAATTGATGGTGACTTTTTATCGGACTTTGTGAGGAAAGTGGACAGGCCAGGATATGCACGTGGTTAGTAAATTTTACTTTATAGATCTATTAAAGTTCATAATCATTTCTTGTACTGGAGTTTTAGAAAATCGTTAATAATTTCTTAATTATCATTCAATGACGTGACTAAACAAGACGGCAAATCAAAGGATGGTCATTCTTTTGTGTACCTTTCTATTGAGCGAGACAATTGAAGAGTCGTTTTCTAAAGCACGTTTTCGAGATAAAATCTCGTTCACATGACATGAAGTTTGCATTATAAGTATACAAGGTCTCGTACACACCAGCAAGCATTGTGAGACTACAAAATGGCGGCGCCCTGCCGCCAAATGTAAACAAACCGCACGATTGCATAAATGCTTATCTATGGCATGGAACACCAAAATCCGATAAATAATTTTAAAAAATGTGTTTCTCAGGAAGAAAACCGGAGGTTTTCAGGATTTTTTAGAAGTATCCGGATATATCCGGAAGACTTTCATCATTAATTATATACAGTACCAAGATAGAGGGCACATTGACATAGGTAGAGAGTGTCATGAGACAGATACTGCCAAGGGAAATTAAGTGGAAAATAAAAGACTGGAGGAAACGAGAAAAAATCAGACTAATGCTTAGATGGGCAAAGGAAAAGTAACCCTAGCAGTTAAGTAATAGTTGTAGTGTGAAAGGAGGTAAGTATGTTTCGGAAATATATTTTATCCCCCAAGCAATTCTATCTACTGTGTAATTTAAATGGTAAAACTAAAATCCATCTCAATTTACTATTGTGCACATACAAATATATATATATATTAAAATATGCCAAAAAAACCCTAAGTCATTCAAGCTTAATTCTTCTCAAATAAACACTTCACAGAGCTATCTTAAAATTGTGCCTACTTGAAAATGAGTTTTTGACTTTCAAGTCAAAGATAAAAATATAATTATCATACATTAATACATTTTGTTACAAAAGTGTTTTATTATTTCTCTGTTTTTCTTTTTATATTTATAGATTACTTTGCACCATTAGGTAGTACAGGAGATAATTTGTTTTCAACATTTTGCATAGCACAGCACCAGCACATCTAACATGCTGACCCAGGCAAATGCAGTCTAGAAAAAGAAATCACACCTTATTCTAAAATAAATAGAAACATATAAAAAAGTTCTAATTTAGGCTTAAATCCTTAATTATTTTTTTTATCTAGCAATATTATCACCAAAACATAAATAACTTTTAAAATAGAAATCACACCTTATTCTAAAATAAATAGAAACATATAAAAAAGTTCTAATTTAGGCTTAAATCCTTAAATTTTTTTTTTTATCTAGCAATATTATCACCAAATGGAATGTTATTGACCTTTATGAACTGTACAAAGAGAAAAGTAAAAAAGTTACAGATAATTCAAAAATTCTTTGTTTCAGTTTGAGCATTTGTCAGAAGAAAAAAAAAAGTCAAAGCTTGTGCTAAGCAAGGCAAGATGGTATCATAAATATGACTGAGTTGTATTACAAAGTGAAACGCCATACCAGACAAACTATTCATCAGCAGTATGTGGCTTTAGGGCTAATCTAAATCTCCTGAGATCTTACTGGGTTTATGGCCAAATATATAGTTAACAGAGAATGTAACCCAACTGATGAAACAAGCATAATTATCTTTACAAGTAAGAACATGAGAACAGAATATTTAATTAGCTATACTTTATTGGGTTGATTTATATTTTTGATCAGAAGATGTTAATTAGGTATATCAGTATTAATTAATCCAATAAACGTCCTGATACAATATGAACACAATCTTTTACTGGCTTTTCCAAACTAGGTACAAGATCAAGTTCAGACCACAAACCTTCATTGCTATTTCATAAACAGCTACAAAGGATAAGTGATGTATCTGTATTGGTACTTGTATAAGAACAAACTTATGTTTCCCCACTCTTATTTTATCATATATAAATTAATCATCTAACTTCTAATAAACTTAGAATAGTTATTACATTACTTATTACTTTTAAGATGCTATTTATTAAAGTTTCAGTTTCTGTATTAAGATTGAAACCACATATAAAAAGTTAGATAGAGCCTGAAACAAAACTTTGAGCTTTGTTTAGTTGGGAAAAAAACAGTGACACCACTACAAACTTATACTACAAAAATAATCTGAAGTAATACTGCACTAAATTAAATAAATATGACATACAATCCTCTAATTAATTAGGTTATACATGCATAAATCAAACCTGAGACAATTAAATAACTACCTTATACATTGGAATACTTTGCATATTAAACACACTGAGATTCTGTGTTTGTATGTTTTAATGATGACTGCCACACAACACAATGTTATGTATCTCAATATACACAAGTTTAATCTTTCATTGACCTTAATTTCCTGTGAATAATCTCATAAATACTCACCTTTAAAATCATTATCTTAGGCTCAACTAAGAACGCAGTAATGAATAGGTAGAAATCATAAAAACAAAAATTCTTCTTAATTCTGTCACTAGCATAGCCTTTATCATGCTTCAATACAAACATAACAATTCAGCAGAAGAACACAATAGCATTTCAGTTACCTGGCTCTGCACTTAGTTTACCTTCACTTTTACAAAAATTATTTAAACTTCTTACCTCAGTTTCTATATTTTATGATAAACAACTTGAGTTTGAGTGAGTCATTTAATTTTTTCACATCAACAAAAATTGAAGAAAAGAGATGTGATATGTAGAAGTCTGAATAGCTTTTAAATGTAAAATTTAAATCAGTACCAATATATATTTCAATATCTTCTCTCTTGAGTTCTTCAAGGTTAAATATTCTTGAAGCATTCTAGGAAGAAGTAAATATGTAACAAGTAATACTAGTAAGAGGTACTGCCACTTGGCTTTTAGTTTAACATGTTGTTTGAAGTAGTATTGTTAGCTAGAAGTTGGATGTGAAGAATTTCTTTCTCAGAGAACAGAAGAAAAATCAATGATAAAGCTAAGAGTGGGTGGCCTGATTCTTAGATAATAAGTATACTGTCATGTTTCACCTATTTTTCTGTACTTCAGTTTATTTGCAATAGATGAAACTGTATCTGTCCCACATTACCTGTACTAATTTAGAATTCTCAGATCACTGCAGCCAATTAAAAGAAAAAGATCACGGATCAGGTTAAGTCTGACTTAGGAATTACTGATTATTATCTAATCATATCACATTCAAAACTTCCAGTTCTGGGCTTATATTTAAAGACAATGTGCAGAAATGTCCAGACTTTATAACCTGGCTAAAATCATAAAATTCAAGGCACTTTACTCTTCAAAAACTACTAATACATTGCAAAGATAACATCAAAAATGGTTAAATTCCTGCATTTTGATGAAATTTCCTTATGGTAGTAAGTTCCAAAAATAAATGTCTGTCATTTCAATGAAAGGATTGTTTGACATGCAAATACAAGAACCTCAACTACATACACAGGTATCTTCAATAATTTTTTAAACTAATTATACAAGAGGCATGTGTGTTCTTTTTATAAAGATAGGTTTACATTCATGTTTTTAAATGGTTATCAAACAAAAAAAAACATTCATGCATGCACTTGCTCAAGCAATAAAAGCAAAAGAAACAAATTAAGAGAAAGATACCAAAAAAGGAGAAAACGGGGAAGTCTGCTGGAACCAGGGATGGAGAAAACCCACTGCCAACTCACCCCCGCTGCCCCAGCAAGTGCAGTGGCAACAGACCCAGCTGTGCCAACTACAGACACAGCTAAAGTCTGCACAGTTCTCTGATTTTGACCAATCACCTTTCCTTTCTCTTTCTCCTCTTCCTCATAAAAAGCTGGGAGAAGATCTTCTCGACAATGATACTTATAGCAGTTGATAACAATTTGCCTTAGAGCATGGGTCCAGGATACCTGTAATGGAAAGTAATTATTCCTTATTAACTTTGACATTACTAAGCTTACAATAGCACCACACATACATAACCTTATATACTAATTCCATTCTTTAACCTAATTGTATTACACAAACATGTACAGAATTACCGACTGAAAAATATTACATGAACATGAGCTTTTAACATAGCCCTATAAAACTTAGCTTTCCTGAACTGAAATATGTTGTACATGTTGGCACATTCTGACGAAGAAAAATACTTTAGAATCGTTAAACATTTATTAATACATTCAAAGGAGCATGAAAACACGTATCACAATAACATGAATACACAAAGTATAAACCTAACAATCAAATCAGTAGTGGTACAGAACCCAAACTCCAACAAGTCAGCCAAACAACCTTTGTATCACCACATTAATCATCCAGCCCAAAATTTATAAACAAATCAACATCTAGTTGGCAAAAGATGAAGAAAAAATGAAGTAATTAGCTGATAAAAAAAATTAGCTACCTTAGAAATTTAAGTAAGTCAACAACAATTGATAACATTAAAAATGGAATTTAAAATATGCTCTGAATATAACTTTACAGTTCATACAGCTGAAAATCTAAGAAACTGTATCTATACTTCCATTTAAAATTTTTTCTGAGAGATAATAATAAATTTCCACATTGATCAAGATTAACCCTGGCATGCATTAAGTTTCAATATCAATTTAAGAGGACAGACTTCTTCTTTGCCATTCAAATCTGACTTAGTTTTATGGCAAAATATTCCAAAATCTGTAAAATTTTTTTTTGTTCTTTACATGAAGTCTAATATGAAAATCAGTGTTCTTTGGAAAATTTTCGCAATACTATTTCACTACTGCAGTTGAAGAGGGGCATTTGAGATGTTCAATAATTCTCGTTGCAGTCTTAAGTTAATACTTGCTATATAACTTGAGCTTGTGTAATGATATACTACTACTGAAGCATCCAGAATTTCACTGATAATAAATTATCTTTTTTGGATGCACCATTAAATTTTAAAATACTAAAGATAAACTTGTAGTCATTCTTCCACAAATTAAAAAACAACAGCTTCAGAGTTGAAATTTATTCAATAAAAAGATTATTTATATAAATTGTATATATAAGTATAAAAAATTGTAAATTTTGATTTTAGATTTGAACTTTTCAACTTCAATACAAGTGTAGTTTTATTACTTCTAGCTAATCACTGTTTCTTAACCTCAGTTGTCATGGCATTATGTTACAGCCAATCTCATATTCAAGAAACTGTAGCTCCCCAGCAAACACACTACATCATGACATAATAGTGGTTTGGTAATGTAGTAATAACATAACTTCACAATGTTGTGCCACTATGTAGTAACTACGTAATAACATTACATTTTGCATAAGTAGTCAGAATGTAATTTTACAACATATACTGCTAAGGCTATTAAGTAAAAATAACAAATGAATATTACAGTGCATACGAAAAGCAAAAGAATACATCATCTGGCAGTGTGACTCGTAGGATATTATGTATTCCACACATAGTATTTCTTTTTGGTGTTTAAGTATTAGTTTTATATATTTAATATCACATTCAAATAAAAATATTATAAGTTGTGTAAAATATTAGTTTCCATTTAACAATACGAGAGAAAAATTAATTCCAAATTATTTGCCTATATTTGATGTAATACGAATAAGTACGAAACTTCAGGAATGACGCGTATAGCTTAATTACACTTAACACCAAGTTTGAATAAGATCCAGCATTCTTGAATCAGCAACTTTAAATCTCCAAAATACTTCATCATGACAAGATAAGCTTCCTAGCATCCATATAGAGTTTGTAGAAAGTTTAAAATCACTAGATAAAAAAAAAAGGAGCGTGAAAGCATTTTCAATAGTGTCAGAGGGAATAAGCCTTTTAAGTTTTATAGTTACTAAGTTAGTGATGTTTATGTTGGATGCTCAATATTCATGTTGATATATTAGAAAAATTTGTTTTTTATTTTTAATTTTTTTATAACTTCAGTGATATAACAACAAAATAGTTTAATTCAGAAGTTTTATGACATTGAGTTGTAGTTAAAAGCAAAATAAAATTTACCAAGTAGTGTTTCAGCTAAGCCTTATGTTAAGTTTATATATCAGGCTACAAAGAGGCCTACTATTACTTGAATAATAGTGTTTCCACAAGAATCTGGTTTTCACATAAACAACATTTATATACATTTCTATCAATACTAATATGGTATTGATCTATCAGGTGATTGTTTTTTTATATATTTTTCACAGGTAGAATCTCTGACACAGGTTGTAGCCACACCAATGGAGGATAATGAAGGAAGAGTGAGCAAAATACTAAAGTTAACATAAATAGACCTTTTAACCAAACAAACCCTTATTGAAAAATTAAGGAAAAATTCTCAAGGTTTTTCAAAAATAAATCGACACACATCAACATAAAATGATCATTGCTTTACCCTGGTATTTTTAAGGTTTCAATACTTATATATAGTTGCCCAATATTCAGATTGCCGTGCTCCATAAAATAAACTGGATGAAATCATTGCCAACCAAAAAAAGCACACAGAACTTCTCCAATAACATGCCGGTAAAGGAAAAGTGGTTTAACAAGCCCAGGCACAAAAGATGGAAGTAGTAGAGGAACCAATGGATACATGGGAAGACCTGAACCAAACCTGTACCAAGCTATCAGAAAACCCAGGCCAGAGAAAAAACTGGTAAATCCTATAATGAATAGTTATTTTTTTTCATTGATATATATTATCATGCATATAAATAGTTTAGACATACCAAATGTATGCCAATTTGTAGATGTAATCAAGCATCCATCTGATCAAATGGTTTAACATAATTTTTCAGGTTGCTGTTCTGAGTGCCTTGGGAGGAAACAATGTTGGGGATTTTCAGCCTGTGGTCCAGCTTCAGCATGAAGAACAACCAAACATTCCAAGACCCGCTACTGCACAGAATAATTATCAGTATGCATGTCTGGATATTTTCAGTTTTAATCGATTATTATTTTGGTACTGTAAACATGGTAAAAACTACATGTGTAATTATTTAAAAAAAACTATCCATTTTACATAGCTTTGTGAAAAAAAGCCCAGCCAGTAGACTGAATGTGCAATGAAAACAATAGTTTTCAGAAAGGGTCAGTTAGGTAACAATAAACAAGACTGTTTGTAAGATAGTAATGACATACAAATTTTTATATTTGGTGATGTACTTTAATACCTCATACTTGACCTCATTATCACATTTATATGTCTTATTATTTTCTTCATTCTATGAATTTTCCAATGTTATAGAGGTAAAATCCCAGCTTTGTTAAATTTGAAAATGTTATTGTAAATTGCAATAATGAACTTTTTAACGATTCAATAAAGGCATGTAGACAAATTCACCCCAAATGCCAGGATGCTGAGGTTGAGCTGCAGATGGCAGAAAGTCTTAAGCATGCACCGAGCAAGTGTGGTGGATACCTGTTCCTGGTAAATATATTGACAAATAAAGTGATGCACTCGTATTGGTCAAAACTGTTAACTGATATACACAATACAATATAGCCAAATTTGAAATGCATTCAAGACAAAAGTAAAATAAAGAATACAATGACATCATTGCTAAGCCACGTACCAACTTTGTCTGAGCTTCATATTACATGAAACATAATATTCATTTTTGGCATAAACTGAGGTACAACTTTATTTGTATAGCAGGTGTTTATAACGAGTAATTTGTTCAACATTGTTTTGGCATATAATAGTCCTTGGCAGAAAGATGAAAATACAAATCTCAGACCTTTTAATTTGTGATTTATTCATCACTGTGGTTTGTGAAGTTGAATTGATACCCTCACCAACTCCCACAGCAATACAGTCCAATTCAGATGAATAGAGTCTGTATTAGAATTACAGAGATGAAAAAATGTATACTTTTTTTGTAACGTCGTATCAGAAAATGTATAATGTATGTATCTAAGAAATAGTTGTAACAATGACTGACATCTGGTATCAAAGTTATTAAACATATAGAATTATGATGAATACAGAATATAAATTGATTGCTTCAATATAATATAATCATAATTCTATATATTTAATGACTTTGATACCAGATGTCAGTTAATGTTACGACTATTGTCTAGATACATATTTTAAAGCAGTGTTTCACAGTTTAACAAATTTTCTCGCTCAGTGCATTGATGTCCAATTAAGGCTCCAGTAAGAGGGCCAAAAGCTACCACAATAAAATTATTTTAATTGCTTCGATATAAGATGATCATAATTCTATATATTTAATAACTTTGATACCAGATGTCAGTTAATGTTACGACTATTGTATAGATACATATTTTAAAGCAGTGTTCCACAGTTTAACAAATTTTCTCGCTCAGTGCATTGATGCCCGATTAAGGCTCCAGTAAGAGGGCCAAAAGCTTGCACAATAAATTTATTTTAATGTAGAGAAAAATCTGTTTATAATTCTGCATATCAATTTACCTAAGTTATGAGTCTTAAACAACAACTGTTTTGTAATATTGTATCAAAAAAATTTATAATTTGTTTTTGTAATGTTGTATCAATGATATTACTTCTAACTTATTTTTGCAAATGAATATACTGAAAGTATTCTGGGTGGAGCTCAAAGGTATAAACAAGGCACTAAGATGAGGTAAAAAGCAATGGAAGGTAGTATCAACTTGCCAGAAAGGAAGTTACAAAGTAGTAGAATGGTAAATGGAATGTTCCATGTTGGTATTTTAACATACAATATAGGTTGTATATTGGTAGTTCCACTACGTAGTAATGTCTCTGGTTGTCCACACTTTTACATAAAAGTTACGTAAATAAACTATGTAATCACTACCAAACCACTATATTATTAATACATATTTACTACGTAAATGTGTTTGCTGGGTAGTAGTCTAAACACATAAAGTAAGCTCTTTTTCTGTTCTATTAAGCTTCTATGTTATATAGATCCAGCTCATCTGAAATTTATGTAAAGAAAACAGGTTTTAAAACATATTACATACATCAAACCTTCTGATTCACAATTTTAAAAAAAAATTACTTGTAATATAAGTAAGATAAAAATACCTCTTTATCATACACAAGTGATAGTAAACACAGTGACACTTTATGCAATGTTTTTTGAATTAAAACAAATATAAAAGTTTACAAGAAAGACATAAAATCAGTAATTAAGAACCATAACAAAGATAAACATTTTTAATTGTTTCTTTAAGAAAAATATATCACAATGAAATCGTTTTGAATTTTCAAAGCTGCAGTTCCATACAAATATCACACAAAAATACAATATTTTGTTTGTAGAAGTCACACAATCTGTATAAAGTTCATCAGTAGTTTATTTTCTCAATGCGATAAAACCAATTATACAATATGTACATTCAATTAACATACCTGGACATAAAGGATTTAACAGATAATAGTAGTGGTATTCTTGCAACTAGTATTTATCATATAGATACATTTTGCCACAAAACTAAAATAACCAAATTTGAAAAGCAAAAAACAAGTCTGTCCTCTTAAAAACTTTTTAATACTTAAGTTTCAATAGATATGCCTAAAACAAATCTTGTAATTCTCTTGGCATTCTATTTGGTCTAAATCAGAATTTCTCAAACCATTGGTCACAACTCAAAGTAGTCTTCAGAATGTATGAAAGGGTCATAAACAGACTTTAAAAACTGATAACAGTTTATGAATTTTTAACATTGTTATTCAGTATTTATCTATTAAGCCAGATGTTTTATTTACTAAGACTATTTAATGATTTTCAACTGGCCATAGCTTACAAATGAGTCTTGCAGAAAAAAAAAAAAGGTGGAAGGAGGGGGGCTGAGAACAACTGGTTTAAATGTTCCTCTAATAATTTTCATATAAAATTACAAATACAAATTACACATTAGAATTATTATTTTTTGGCTTTTTCTAGTTTACTTCTGACTTGTGCAAGTCACATTTTTCTTTAACCCTTTGCATTTGGGCCTAGCTCTTTTGTGCATATCATGAATTTTTACAGTATTTCATTCAATATTTAGATTAACAACTTTGTTATCAATGTATATGAATAAACTTGGCATGAAAATGTAGTTTCTAAATAAAATGTTTATATTATCTGAATTTTAAATTATTAACTTCAAAAAGAGATATTTAAAAAATTATTAAGCTTCATTTTTCTGCACCATGTGACAAGTCTGAGTTCAGACTTCTCAACATCAGAATTTTCTAATTTTATTACTAGGCTTCTACAGTTTCCAACCAATTAGAAACACAATCTACACAAAACTACATAAAAGAACATAATGTGTGAACTTCATACTTTCTTTATTTGCTGAGATATCAATAAATTTGTCAAACCAGAGTTAGAAAGCCAGATCAATTATTGTAGTTTTTGGACATTCTATTCCAATAACCAATGTATTTTTTCTGTTTTAACATAAACACATGAAAGCTATGTGAATTCGTTTTTGAGAACACAAATTTATGAGACTCAATGAAACTTATGAAAGAAAGTCTTAGAATTTTATTTTATTAATTTTATTACAAGCGAGATCAATTATGCAATAAGTATTACAAATCCTTGTTTATATATATATATATATATATATATATATA